CTGCTCTGGCGAAGTCCGATTGAGTAGTTGCCTTAGTCTGGGTCGATCCTCTTAAATGGCCCCTTCTGTCATCAGGCTTGGCAGCCCCTGATCGTTCTCACAAAGATTTTCCAGAAGGTGATTCCGCCCTTCGCACTGTATGCGTAACTCCCCCTGGCGGAGGTGCTGAATTGGACGCAGGGGGAGAACGCCGTCGTCATCCAGCAGGACCGCCCACCCTCCGGCGGCGAAGCCCTGGCCCTGACCTCTCCGATCAAAGCTTCGGGCAACTCGAGGTGCGGCGCGTGTATGGCTCGGAATGCGTCGAGCACGCGGCAAAGTCTGAACCTACTCACAGTCGGGGCGCTGAAGAAGGAACCCGTTTCGTTGGGGAGGGGCTCGGTGTTCCTTGATTGGTTCGAAGTTTGCCTCGGGTTTTCCTTAGGTTTCCCATGGGAATGGAGGTTGAATTTCTGGGAAAAAGGGGCCTCGCTCCTTGTTTAGGGTTCCTTAGGTCAACGCCTCGACTGTACCCCCGCCGAGATGTGAATCGGCGGTGCGCCGAGGGTTGGAGAAGAAGGGAAGAAGGCTGTGTTTGTGTGTGCACGTATGTATGTATGTACACGCATGCGTATGACCCCCCGTACATCCTCCGCCTCCTCCCCCTCCTCCGCCTCCTCCTCCTCCTCCTCCTCCTCCTCCTCCTCCTCCTCCTCCTCCTCCTGCTCCGGCCCTGGGCGCTCCCACCGACGTGGAATGAGAATTTCCGGTTTGGGGAGCCCCTCGGGGTCACCCTACGCCGCTTGGGCAGGCCCACGATCGTTTGCGGAGGCCCGAGACGGCCCAAGACCGTTCCAGAGCAGCCCATGGGCGCTCAAAGAGGGCCCAAAGTGATTCCAAGTCGGATCAAGAAGCCCCCAAGACGCCGCAAGAGGCCCCTCAGGGGGATCCCGAAGAGGCGCAAGTAATATCATTCCCTAGAAACATGTACATTTTCTACAGATTCCCTTCTTTGGTTATCACAGCGTCCAAGACGGCCCAGCCAGGCCCCAAGATCGCCCCAATGCGGCCCAAGAAGTCCCAAAGAGGGCCCCAAGACAGCCTCCCCCAGGACGGCCCAAGAAGGTCCCGCAGCGGGCCACGGGGGCCGCCAGACGGCCCAAAAGAGTCCCAAACAAGGCCCCGCCATGGCCCCGAGAACCCAAACTGACTGATCTCCGCAAGATTGTATCGTAGATGCCTTGGTTAGTTCTCTAGCGCCACTTTCATAATATCAGCTTGTGGTTAACAAATGGCTACCCCCCATCCCCGGGGCTGATGAATAGACCACTCGGGGCGCTAACCATTCTTTTTAATCATGCGCGCCAGGGGGTCGTCGCTGGCGCCGCCGAGTGGGTCGTGTACCCCCTTGCATGGCAGCCGCAAGACAGTATGGCCTGTTCGTATAGAAGTTGTTATTGGGGTCGTACTCACCCGAGGGGACCTTTTTTGCCCTCTTAGGCGTCGTCGCCGCCGTCGTCGTCGTCTTCTTCGTCGTCCTTGTCGTCGTCGTCGTCGGCGTCGTCGTCGTTTTTGTCTTCGTCGTCGCCGTCGTCGTCCCGTCGTCGTCGTCGTCGTCGTCGTCGTCGTCGTCGTCGTCGTCGTCGTCGTCGTCGTCGTCGTCTTCGTCTTCGTCTTCGTCGTCGTCGACTACAGCGGGCCTGCGCAGCACCCCCCATACATAGGGCGTCCGCAGTGCGACATCGTCGTCGCTTCCGTCTGCCGTCCCTCGTCCTCGTCCTCGTCCTTGTCGTCGCTGCCGACGGCGACTACAGGGACCACGACAGCTGGGGGGGAAGAGGGCTGCAAGCCTTGCTCGGGTCGGACGACAGGCTGGTGAAGGAAGGGTGGGGGTGCGAAACCTGCTGCGCGCAGGTGCGTTCGGTGGCCTCGCCGAGGAGCCAGTCCTGGATGCATCGACGTTTTCGGCGCCAGAGGGCGCTCGGAAAACCAGCAATGTGAGCTGATTGGCTAATCCCCGCTTGGCCACGCCCCCCTTTCGTCCAGCCCGCTTTGTTCGCGGACCCACGAGGCAGCTGGCGCCCCCCTGGCTGCGGCCAGGGGAAAGGAAACGCATCGGTGCGACAAAAAAGAGCATGGAAAGTGCGGGGCGAGCGCCGACTGCAGTTTCTCCATTTCGGACAGGTGTTGCCGTGGCTCACCGTCCCTGCTTCTGCCGCCTTTGCCTCCCGCCCCCCTTCCCCTCCTCAGTCAGTGCTGCTTGTCGTCTTCCCGCTGGCGGCTGGGCAGACGCTAATCACCAGAGCGGCCGCCGTTGATTTTCAATTTGGCGGGCGCCACCCCGCGATTCGCCCAAACAGGTCAACTATTGCTTCAAACGCGCGTCCCCACGCTTTTGTTTATCACAAGCTGACATTACCTTCGGCCCTGGGGCCCCTTACGAGACCTATGGGCCAAATGAGCGCGACGGCGAGCGCGATGCGCCCTTTGATCCGTATGATCCCCAGGAGCCCTACGAGGCAGAGGAACCCGATGGGCCCCCACGACCCTTATGAACCTTGCGGCCCCATGAAACCCATGAGGCCCACGAGCCTTATGAACCCTACGAGTTTTATGAACCCTCTGCACCCCATGGCCCATTATGGGCCCTATGAGTCTCTTTCAGCCCTCTGAGCCCTATGAGTCTTGAGTCCTACAAGCCAAATAAAACCGATGAGCCTTGTGAGCCCTATGAGCACGATCGGCCCTACGTGCCCGGTGAGGCCTATGGGCCACATGACCCCTATGAGCCCGATGCGCCCTATGAGTCCTCTGAACCCGATGGTTATGATGAGCCTTATGCACCCCATGAGCCCTATGAGCCCCACGAACCCTATGAGCACTTCTGGGCCATCTGAGCCCTATGAGCCGTATGAGCCGTACGACCCATACGAACTCTACGATCCGTATGAGCCTTCAGAGCCTTTTAAGAGTCTGATAGGCTTCGTGAACCCTACGAGCCCGTTCTGAGCCCTCATGAACCCCTTATGAGTTTCACGGGCCCCAAGAGCCCTCATGAACCCCACGAGCCCCACACACCTTGTGAGCCTTATGAGCCCTATGGGCCATATGCGCCCTATGAGCCCCCATGAGCCGTGTGAGACCTTTGATTCTGACGAGCCCTATGCAGACCGTGAGCTCTACGAGTCCTACGCGCCCCTCTGAGCTTTGCGAGCCGTACGAGCCCTATGAGCCGCATGAGCCCTTCGAACCCTACGATCCCTATGAGCAGCACGAGCCCGATGAGCCCAATGATACTCATGAGCCCCACGAGCCCTACGAGCGCGATGAGCCCTATGAGCCATATGACCCATATGGGCCTCATGAGCTTCATGCGCCCTATGGACACTATGCCCTGTGAGCCCATGAGTCCTCAAAGCCCCATGGGCCCCGTGAGCCCTATGCGCCCTATGACCCCGAAGAGCCCCATGAGCCCGGTGAGCCCAATGACGCCTGTGAGCCCGATGAGCCCTGAGAGCCCTAGGACCCTAGGAGCCCTATGAACCTTCTGAGCCGCATGGGCCCTATGAGCCCGATCTCATGAGTTCAATGAGACCGATGCGCTGTATGAGCCCTATGAGCCCCACGAGCCATATGAACCCTATGAGCCCTATGAGCCTCATGATCCCCATAAGTCCTATGAGCCCTCATGAGTCCCATGACACCTATGCGCTCTCTGAGCCCTACGAGCCATTTGACACCGAAATGAGCCTCGCGGGACCAATGAGGCCTATCGGCCCGATCAGCCCCACGGGACTCATGAGCCCTGCGCACTACGAGCTTCTAAGCCCGTTCAGTCTGACGAGCCCTCTGTGCCCAATGACCCGCTCGCCCCGGAGGCCCTCAGATGCCATCTGGGTGGGCTCGTGGGACTCTCTCGGACATTTCTCCAAGGCCCCATGGAAGTTGTCGTGGGACTCCCTCGGAGACTTCTCCAGGGCCCAAGAGAGGCCAAGGAAGAGGCCCATAAGCGCTGCAAGAGAACCCCTAGATTACTGCATGATCATGCAGTGCTCCTCGGCCGCTCTTGGGGCCTTCTTGGAGCTCTCTTGGGCCGCTTGGGGCTCTCTCCGGGCCTTCGCCGAGCCCCAGGCACTTCAAGCGTGGCTTGGGAGCGGCTCCTCAAGCGCCCCAGGAGGGCTCCAAGAGGGACCCCGCACTCTGCATTTTCAGCAGCTGTCAGAATGCCGGGCGCGAGGGCCCACATGGAGCCGCTCTCGGGGCCTTCTTGGGCCCCTCCTGAGCTCGCTCGGCGCCTTCTCCGGGGCCCCGGAGCGGCCCAAGATGGCCCAAAGACTGACTGAGCGGTCGTCAAAATGCCGGATCCATGGGGCGTCTCGGTGCCGTCTCGGGGCCACTTTCGGGTCAAGCGTTCACCAAGTCGGGCGGGGGGGCTTTCTGAGCCAGGTTGGCCGAGCGTCGTGATCGATTCCGTAGTGGCTCGAGGCATCGTCATCAGGATGGTGCGTGAGTCCGTGCCGCTGGATACGCACAGGAAAATAGCGAAAGTGGTTTTGGAATGGGAAGCAATATCACGAAACCAAAAAGGATGGCCGAGTATCTGGAGGAACACTGCGAGGCCGTACGTCCTAATTGCACTGATTGGAAGAGCGCCCTCAACCGCTCACAGAAAGCAACAAGCGCAGCACAGTCAGAGGCAGCTTCGAAAGCTATCCAACTGCCTGCGGCAAGTCCCGCCACCGTGCCAGTCCCTCATGCTCGAAAGCGATTGTTCAAGGAGGCACCAGAGACTTCTCGGATGTTCGCTGGGATAGTGTGGTACGCCTTTCGGGGGCCTGTTGGAGGCGGTTTCGAGGCCTCCAGGGCGCTTCTTGGCGGCATCTTAGGGTCCTCTTAGAGCTCCTCGGAGGCCTCTTGGGGCCTTCTGGAAATCTCTTCGGGCAGCAGGATCGAATTGCCGGTTCGAATTGCACTGTACGAGCCGCAAGAGTCTTATGATCGAACACGAGCTTTATGAGCCACACGAGCCCTATGGGCCCCATTGACGAGGCGCACCGCGGCAGCGACGACTGCCCGTCCCAGCGGGCCTTTCTGGCGCCATCCGACCAAGATTTTGAAGGCGAAGCGAAGCGAGGTGGTAACATCTTGTGTGTGTATATATAGCGATATCGGAGTAGGCCGGGGGAGAGCCCAGAACCGCGACCTCTGGTTTGCATGGGGGCCCAGGGGGGC